TTTATTTCAACTTTTATTTATTTATTTACGTATTTATTTCTATATTTATTTATTTTTACATTTATTTATTTATACATTTCTTTGTCTGTAGGGTAATGAGGAGGGCGTGTTTTACCTCAGGAATAGCAACACCTTGTGGTGCCCAAACGAATTACAAGAAGTGTAGCCTACATGATGTGCCTGTGATAGTGGGATGAATGACTTAGATGGGCAATATGGCCAAAGTCTTATATCACGGCCATGGGTTAAAGGCACAATATGTAATTTTCGCCACTAGAGGGCGCGTATTCAAAATAAACAAAGAGACAAAGGTGTAGTTTGATGACGAGTGACTGAGTGTGGAATCATGGGAGTTGTGGTCTCCCCCACAGCCGATGCAATCAGAAATCATGTTCATGGATGAGCTAATGATTTATTAACGTAGTAGAATGAAGCAGGGTGAGGCTGAAAGCCGTCGAAGCGAAACGAGGCCGCTGAACGAGCGCGACACACGGCTCGAAGGCAGCGGAGCTTTTATTATGCCACAGTCGACTGCTTCCACGGCTTCCGGTCGTGCGTATGTGGGGTAAAGCAGCGCTGTTTTATCATACTAGATACATTTAGTTCTGTTATTATGCTACTCTGTGCGGTCGTCACCGGTCTATTAAAACACACAACATATTAAAGCATCTTTGGTGTTTCCATGTTTTCTACAAAACAAAACCTGAAATCGAGGGGTTAAGACGTCTTTGGCAGGCGACACTATGGACACGCTCCGTGTCACTAGTTAAAATTGCTTATTTCTCTGGATTTAAACATTCTTCGAAACATTTGGGATAATGTAAGTACACAAGTCAGCAAAATATATAACACTGTTCTAGTGGTTTTTGGATATTTTAATAAAAAATAAATCTTACATATTGTGCCTTTAAGTCATTTAATATCACCCTATCTGTATGTATAGGCTACTACGGAGCCGCTAAAGGGACATGTTAGTGGGAAAAATATGGGGTGGGAGGAAAAAATATTTTTCAAATCTTTTGCGTTCCCCAAGAAACTTTGCGTTCGCTCACAAAACCAGTTGAGTTCGGACAAACACTTCCTGTTTACTTTACAGCTTGCAGTGGTTCATACAGCTCAGTACTTTCACAATGGAGCAGTTCATAGAGTTTTATTTTGAACTTGGACTCAAGTATAAAGAAATACAGTCAGAGCTTAGTTCAAGGCACGGTTTTGGGACATTCTGAAACGCTTAATGTACTAAAACAGTGACACTGGAGGACCAAATTCAGTATCAATAATTACTATTAAAATTAATAACACTATTAATATTAATAACCTTATTAATATTTTTTACTATTAATAAAATACTATTTACAGACAAGCAAAATAGGCCAGAATATGAACGCAACGCACATTTAATGCACATTAAGCTTTTTCTCCCCCAAACGCTAAAAAGGACGAAAACGGTGATATAAAAAGACCAAATCTGGTATAAAGTTTATTAAAGGGGTCATATGATGCTGCTAAAAAGAACATTATTTTGTGTATTTGGTGTAATGAAATGTGTTTATGCGGTTTAAAGTTAAAAAAACACATTATTTTCCACATATTGTACATTATTGTTTCTCCTCTATGCCCCGCCTTTCTGAAACGCGTCGATTTTTACAAAACTAATCGGTCTGAAAAGCGAGGTGTGCTCTGATTAGCCAGCTATCCAGTGCGTTGTGATTAGCCGAATACCTCAAGCGTGAGA